CCACGGGCAGCCCGTGTGTTGGCCAATTACTAGAACTCAATTCCAATAAGTTTACCGTCACAATGCGGGTGAAAGTCCTAAGCCATTGAGTCATACTATCACTGAGCTTTTTGTCACAAGATTTGAACATTGATCCAGCTCCATCATATTTTGATAGTTCTATTTGTATGTAGACGATCTACCAGGGGTGTTGGGGGAAGGGGGAGGGGATAAGGGTGAGCGGATGAGGTTTGGCAGGGGGAAGATCGCGCGCTTCCATTCCCATCCATCGCTCCCTCCCTCGCTTGCTTCATTGCCTGTCTATATAATGCATTTGTATTGCATTCTTGTCCCTCAGTGACCTTCGCCCACTGCTCACATCCTCCACAATACCCCATTCCCAGCAGCTTTTCTCTTGAGGGCGCAGCTGGACAGTTTTTTTAGGGTGTCCTGAATGAACGGAGGTTGCTTTTGTTGTTGTTTCGCTGTTGCTGCTTGCTGCAGGAAGTACCAGTTTCATTGACGGTCGGGGAATTTGAATTTGAGCTACTCGCTGTATGTTAAATTTGAATTTGTCGCATTTGAGAGATTCGTTCATTCGTTTCGATGGTAAATTGGTACTGGTATTTGCCCGGGAGGCAGACCTGACATCAGGTTGTTCCCGGGCATTCCTTAGACAAGGAAGCCATTGACAGTTTTACCAGTGGGTGGTTGCCGCTGTTAGCAAAGTGTTATTGCTTCGATCGCCTTCTTTCTTTGATAGAGTGGATTTCGCCTTTAATTTAAATCACTTTGAAATAATACCAAAACTTCTTGCACAGTTAGTTGAAGTGTTTAAAATAATTGAAATAATCCCAAAATCTCTTGTACAGTCGATAATCGGGTATGCCCCTTCAATGGTGTTACTGAGATGCTCCCACATGCCGATTCCTGGGCGTTCAATTTTGGGCTGCGCAACTCCTGTTGTTTGAAAATAGTGGTGGTACGGGGAAGGTTTTATATTGGTGTATTATCATTAAAAAAGCTACTGTCGTAGTTTGAAAGAATTTTCAAAAAAATGCAGAATTTCCAAAATGTAAAGTAACAATTCTGTGTAGCCAGTGTCCGGTGCTTGGGTAGCTCCCT